GGGATCAAGCCTGAAATCCAGGCATGTGCCCTGACCGGGAATCAAACCTTGATCTCCTGGGTCATAGCTTGATGCTTAACTGCTGACCCACACTGGCCTCGCTGAGTACAGTGGTAACTCGGTTTTCCAATGTCTCCGTTGACAAACATTTCGGGTTACAGACGTTGTAAACCCAGAAGGAAATGCTTCAGTTTTCGAACACGCCTCAGAAGTTGAACATGCCACAAGGCTTCTGCTGAGGGCAAGATCCTGAGGCTTCGCTGTTGGCTGTTGATCCCTCGGTTTTTGAACATTTCAGAACCCGAAGGTCTTCCTGAATGGATTACATTTGAAAACCGAGGTACCACTGTATTGGTATTTGGAACATAAAAAGTAGGTTTCTATCAAATCTGCCCAATCAGAAAAGAAGTGTTTAAATCTATGGATAAAAAGCAAAGTTAAATAAAATGCTTACATACTTTGTAGGTGTGTATCATACCTAGAAATTCGTAATCATTAATTTTCCTGTTTCACATTGAAAATATAGACTTTTGTGGTGATCTGAGGTTAAACTTCCAGGTATCAATGACTTGCTGTTGCCTTACTAGGTCCCTGGTGGAGTGAGGAAGTTAGGACTTACTTCTGTGAAATAGGGAGATAGTTCTTATTTATCTCTCAAAGACTGCTTGATGAACAGTGGAAATTTGCAAAGAATTAAGGGCTTACTGTCACCATTTGTTTACTTAATGTGTGCTGGTTTCATTGGATACAGCTCATTTGAGGAACAATTATAACATCCAAATGTATGATATTCAAAATAACCATAGATAATTAAACTCAATTGAAATGCTCCAATGATTCTTTTAATAAAGAGACAGGTACAGTGCAGCTGGGTGTGGCTCAGCGGTTGAGCAGCGGCCTAGGATCCAGGCGATCGGGGTTCGATTCCCGGTCAGGGCACATGTCCGGGTTGCGGGCTGCAGCTGATCAATGATTCTCTCATCATTGATGTTTCTATCTCTCTCTCTTCCTCTCCTTTCCTCTCTCTGAAATCAATAAAGATATATTTAAAAAAAAAAAGAGAGACAGGTACATTTTATGCTTTATTCTGTAATTGAATGAACATAAGAAATGCAGGAACTAGAATGTGCTTTTGACTCGACTTCTATTCAAGAGTTGTGTATCATGTTCTTTGTTGTCAGATCAATTGATCAGACACATAAAGATGCCTATCTGCCACAATGTTGGAGAAGACACTATATGTATCATTTTATGTTTTAATATTTATTTTGCCATAGTCATTATTATAAGCCTACCATTGACCCAAAATCATTTCCTCTAGGGATTACATAAAAGGGATTATAAATTGCATTCACAAGCCTGTTTTCCCCATGCTTTTTTTTTTTAGCAACCAGGCCTCCTGGTATGTGCCATCCAGATGAATTTCAGTGCCAATCAGATGGTCTCTGCATCCCGGGGAACTGGGAGTGTGATGGGCACCCAGACTGCATCCATGGATCTGATGAGCACAATGGCTGTGTGCTCAAGACCTGCTCTCCATCTCATTTCCATTGTGACAATGGAAACTGCATCTACAGAGAGTGGGTCTGCGACGGGGACAATGACTGCAGGGATATGAGTGATGAGAAGGACTGCCCTACTCAAGCCTTTTACTGTCCCAGTTGGCAATGGCAATGCCCTGGCCATAGCATCTGTGTGAATCTGAGTGCAGTATGTGATGGCATCTCTGACTGCCCCAATGGGACAGATGAGTCCCCACTTTGCAGTAAGTTTCCTGACCATAGTTTACTGGCCATGAATTTATTCTGACCAGTGGCCTGCTGTGCATCACCATTGTCATAATCACCATGTAGCTTTTAAGGAAAGGATTTCAGCTCCCCTCTGAGTTCAAAATCTGTGTAGGGATAGCCATCATGATTCAAATAAATCATCACTGGATAATATTTCTCATTAAACCCTTTGCACTTGGTTCTGTGTTTTTACTTCTTTTATATCATTGTTTTTAAAAACTAAGACTACATGAGGCTGTTAGATTGTCAAATTAAATTGGTTCTGTTGGTAATGTGCTCATAAGTTTTTCTAACTTTAATATTTTCTAATTTCAATCAGAACTTGCCACAAAACAAATGAGGTCCGGGGATTTGTGTTTGCTGAGATTAAAATTCTGTGATTGGCATGTAATCCTAACTACTGTCCTTTCTTTCTTTCCTCTTTAATCAATGCTCACTCTCAGATGAACCCCAGCCAGGTATGATCACAAAGTATTTTTTATTTTTATGATTTTATGTGTTGTATTTGTGCTGAAAATGTTCTAATCAGTTTGACTTACTTCCCCTTCTAGTGCATGTTTTGTATCCTGACTCTTATAATAAGTTACGTGGAAATAGAGGGCATTTTCATCCCCAGGCATGTGAGCTGTCTTTGGGTGGCTTCAGGCATTGCCATTTGGCCCTGAAAGTAAAGAATGATGGCATGTTAGTGGATCTGTGCCCTCTAATGTTCCAGTTGCCTTTTTCCTCCCACTTGTTCACTTTCATAGACCAACTAGCCCTTGCTCATAATGTCAAAGTCTTACCTTCTATTTCTATATAGGTAGAAGAATATCAGAAGGCAAATGAGAAGCAATTTAGGGTCTCTTTGCATGCTTTATCAATGGTGGTTGTGTTTCTTGATACCAATAATATTTTCCCGAGTTTCTGTCATTGCACTAAATGGAATTATAATAGAGAGTTGTAGTGAAGAAAATGGTCCAAGTCCAGTGGATGTGAAGGGTAATAAATCCTTAGGCCTATCAGAGCAGACACTGACTAGCCTGTGGAGTTCATCCAAGTGAATGTTGCACTTAGCTCTTACCTGGGTATTATGCTGAAGGTGGCCTGAGACAATATGACAAATATTTACAGCAGAGTGAACGAAAGAAGCAAAGATTCCTCACTTTTCCCCTTTCTGATTCTCTTTTTTAATTCTAGACCAGGAGAGCTGCTCAAATTTAAATGCTGGTTGTACTCACCAGTGTGTTCAAGGGCCCTTTGGGGCTCAGTGCATATGTCCAGAGGGATACCTGCTTGCCAATGATTCTAAGACCTGTGAAGACATAGATGAATGTGACATTCCAGGCTTCTGTAGCCAGCATTGTTACAATACGAGAGGTTCTTTCCGGTGCTGGTGTGATAAAGAATACATGCTAGACACTGATGGGAAGACTTGCAAAGTTACAGGTAATGACTGAACTTGAAAGTGAATGAACTCCAGCCAGTTAACAACATACCCCAGAGCTTAAGATCAAACATTGCATGTAGACATTTGGCCATGTTGATCAGGAGTCAAATGGATGGATTACACAACCTCTTTAAATTTCAGTTTCTTGTGAGGATGAAATGAGTTATAATACATAAGGATTTTGTTGTACTTTGGAAAATAGAGGTTAAAACATACAGGTAGAAAATGATTTTTAAAATTATTTAGAATAATATCAATTTTTTGGATATTATTTAAAAATGATTTCTGTGTTTAAGTATCTTTATATAATGAGATTAATGAATTCAATTTACTTAATATTAATTCAGTTTCTACTATGTGAAAGTGATTATACTATGTATTAAGATATTAGTTCAGCTGCTTTCAATGACCAAATAAAGGAGACTAAAACAAAGTAGAGGGGATATTAGGAGGTAATTAGAAGTCTCTGACACAGCTGAATGCCTTGGGAAAAATAGCAATATTTAAGACATGATTCCTGCTATCAAGAAGCCTACAATCTAGAAAAGAAGATAAGGAAAGTACAAAGGTAACTATAGTAAGAGGAAGAATGCAACTATAGTTCACTCCTGATTGATATTTAGACAATATAACTCAAATATACAAGAAAAATATTTCAGAGAAAGCTTATTTTAAATTCTCATGAAAATCAGCTAACTATTCAGGCAAGGAACAAAATGATTAAAAATCATTCTCATAGATATTTTTGTTTTTTCCCATTACTATACTTTGGAATTATATCTTCCTTTGTTACCAAAAGTATTACATGAAATATTTGAGATGCTTTAGCTTTGTTTTCTCCCAGAATCACTGACATTTTTGCATTTTCTTCTTGGACAGCATCTGAAAGTCTTCTGTTACTTGTGGCAAGTCAGAACCAAATTGTTGCTGACAATATTACCTCCCAGATCCACAATATCTATGCACTTATCGAGGATGGCTCTCACATTGTAGCTGTTGATTTTGATTCCGTCAGTGGTCGTGTCTTTTGGTCTGATGGAACTGAGGGGAAAATCTGGAGTGCATTTCAAAATGGAACAGACAGAAAAGTAGTAAGTACCTTTCTACTGACCTGTGGCATGACTAATTCCCCTGTCTTGGCTCTATTTGCTTACTCCCCAGTGAGAAAGGCCCTACTGCAACCTAGGCAGCTCTCATATTCCCCTTTGGGCCACATTGTACCCAAGAGGCCTGGAGATTTGTAACTCCAAATCTATGGGTGTTTTAGATAAGAATATGGCCTCTGAAGGCAGATCCATTCCTCTGAATTCTAGGTCACATGATGCAGAGGCTTCAAAAATCTATGTGGTTTCCTTTGCAATTTTTTTCTGATATATGAGAGCAGAAGAAAATGCAAGGGAGTTAAGGGGTTGCTTTTCTTAGTTTTAATTTAATTATGTTTCTCAATCCATCTCCCAATTTTATTTCTTGACCCTTGATGGTTATATTTCCTCTGCTCCTTAGAACTTTATTTTGTAATCGTTGGCACTTAATAAAGATCTTACTTTTGGCATTATAAATATAAAGTTTCATAGGGTTGACAATTTAGTGAATGGATAGAGCTTTTGTTAATTGAAAACGCTTTGAAACGAAAATGAGACTACACACTAATTCAACCACAGAATCATCCTAGAGTATTCAGTTCTACAAAACCTTGTATATTTTCCCTATAAAAACATAGTGTTGATTAGGTGATTAGCTACATGGGAAGACAATTTATAATGCTCATAATCAATCAATCATAGGACAAGTTAGGTGCTTTATTCCAGATTTTCATATAATTTTCATGTTATCATTCATTTATTCTCTTTATAATTCTCTCTTTATTCATTTTTGCCTTTAGGTACTTGACAGTGGTGTCACCATGACTGAAAGTCTTGTGGTAGATTGGGTGGGTCGCAATCTTTACTGGACAGACTATGTTCTGCAAACAATTGAAGTCTCTAAACTGGACGGGAGCCACAGGACTGTGCTGATTGGTCAAAATGTAACAATGCCAAGGGGACTAGCTATAGATCCCAGAGTTAGGTAAGACTTTTTTTTAATGATGTTGCCTTGACATGGTTATAATGAAGGAAAAACAACAGGAGCATGATGTGACTGATAGGCATATCATAAAATTTAAAATAATCCTTGGTTTACATATCTCTGTAGCAGTGCTAGGCATCCAGCTGGTTGTTGCTATCCTTTCTTTATCTGAATAATCTTTGTCATAAAGTACACAACAGCAATTGGTTGTTTACTTTAAGACTACATTGATTTATTAGCTTGGCAAGACAATTATGGAAATGATTGTTGTAGAATTATATAATTAAGTTTCTAATCAATGCACACAGTAATATTCCATGGATGGGTCAATTTGCCTTAACTTTGATACCTCATGGTTTCATAAAAAATTTTAAAAAGCCAGATTTTTCTGCTTCTGTTTCATGTTGTTTACTAGCTTTCCCTTTTACATATTACAAGGAAGAAAATTTTTGCCTATTGGTCCTAAAGGGAAGGAGAAATTCTCCCAAGTGCTTAGAAACCTCTGAGGGCCTCCTTTCTTGAATTCACTTAGATTCTCTTAGATTCTTGTCTGCAGGATGGAAAGTTGGGCAAATTATGTTCAGTGTGATGCAGACTTCTCGATATTGCAGAGTATTACACAACAGTGAAATTTATGATTAATCTCTGATGATAAAGAAATTGACTCTTATCTTAAGCATGGAAGGGCAGACCATCAAGGACAGGTGGATTTTTCTAGATCAAATACTTGTGGATTATATAGAAATGAATTGGCATTGAAACATTTTAGTGTCATAATGTACTGCATGTTTTATGAACATTATAAAAACACCTAAATGGCTTGTGATTCCATCATGGTTACAGTTTTACTTTGTAACACTCAGAGGAAATAACAAGCTCTGTGTATATATTCTGAACTAAAGATGATTTATTTTAAGTAGAGTATAAACATGATGTTTTATCACTTAAGATGACAGGGTTTTTTTTTCTATATTGAAAGATATCCTCTCCAATTGGTAACTTATTTCTTTTCATAGTGACCATCTGATGTTCTGGTCTGACTGGGGCCATCACCCCCGTATAGAGCGAGCCAGCATGGACGGCAGTTTGCGCACCATTATTGTTCAAGACAAGATTCTATGGCCCAATGGCTTAACTATTGACTACCCCAACAGACTGCTCTACTTCTTGGATGCCTATCTTGATTACTTAGATTTTTGTGATTATGATGGACAACATCGGAGGCAGGTGATAGCCAGTGATTTGGTAAGTTGGTAGGGAGGAAAAGAACTGACATCACAATAGTGTTCAGTGGAAAGCAGAAAGAGTTACAAGAAAAGGAAAAATTTTAATTTTTGTGTTACAGACATTATATGGTCAATCCAGGAAATATCAGCGGGAATAAGGGCCAATCCATCTGTTATTACTAACTGAAAATATGTATTTTTATTCTAGTTCATGGTCAGATTGCTCGTATGATTTTAGTTGATCTGTAGATGCTAATCTGTACCTTTAAAAAGTGTTAAGCAAATATTAATAATTTAATTATATTTACATTCTCAATTAATCGTAGCCTGTTTTCTGCTTTGTGTTTTTATTCAGGAAATTCTGTGGAATTTATTTTCACAAGTTATGGGAAAATACAGAAAATGTTTATTTTACAAAGATCTGTTAATGACTTCTATTTAAAATTGTCACTGTTTATAGTTTTGTGACCTGAAGTGACCCTGGGAGGGCCTCCCTACCTTCAGGAAATATGCACCTAAGCTGTATCAGATTTATGTGCATCTGTGGGTGGCAGAACAAGACAGTGGGAACGGCACTGGAGAAGAGTGGTGACAATGGGGTGGGGGCTAAAGGCCTTAGAAGTAAGGGATCCAAACAAATCACCTTACTTTCTGCACTTTGGTTTTGCTTTCATTTGTAAAATGGATGCCCAGTGTAATTACCAGAGTAAAAATGAAGACTCAGAGGCACATGTATGTGAAAGGATTTTGAGTGGTATAGTGGGCGATAGGTCAAGCAGTCTATTTTTTGTCTGTCTCTTGAACAATGACTTCTCTACGTTTTTATTAAATAACTAAATGCTAAAGGAAGCCATCTCTTTGGTATCCTTTTCTGCTTTGTTCGCCTTGGTTTTTATTTCTGGGCGAGATCTCATTGTTTTCCTCTGCTTCACAGATTCTGCGGCATCCCTATGCCCTAACTCTCTTTGAGGATTCCGTGTACTGGACTGACCGCGCAACTCAACAGGTTACTCAAGCCAACAAGTGGCATGGAGGGAACCAGTCAGTTGTAATTTATAATGTGCACCAGCCCCTTGGCATTGTTGCAGTTCATCCTTCGAAACAGCCAAATGGTAAATGAGAGATAATTGAGAGAGAGAGAGAGACATCTCTCCTGGAAATAGCTTGGAAAACACTTATTCTGGAAATGTAAAATGCACAGTGTTGCAGACCCATTTATTTGGGCAACGAATTTTCCTTCCTTTCCTCTTTACTAATATCTACCATGGAAAACTCAAATTTTATATGTAACAACAGAAGATTTAAATTGTGTCATTTTATTTAGCAATTGGCTACTGCCTCTGTGACTTTTCTCTGAGTCTCAGTTTCCTCGGTTGACAAATACAGCATAGGCCAGACACATAAGTCCCTTAGATCCTTTGATCACTACCATTTATTTTTAGGACTCATTTATTGTGGCACCGTTGCCCTGCGGGTGCTCTTGTGTGGCTACCCGTCATCCTAGAGTTCGTGGTGTGGGTGGCTAGGTGATTTAAAAATTTGATTTTGGAAGTGTTCTTTCTAGTGTGAGGAGGGGATAAATTACTTAATCTCTCCTCATAACTCAGAAATAGGTTCTCATCACATCAGAATCTGCCCCTGTTATCTCCCTGGTCTCTTCTCTTTTCCCACTCACTCTTGCCACATTGGGCTTCATAGGATTTCATTTTGGTCCTAAAGCACAGCAGGCAAGTTTCTACCACTGAGCTTTTGCACTAGCTCTTCCCTCTGCCTGGAACATCTCTCCTCCAGATTTCTGCATGTTGCTCCTTCATGTCATTTAGGATTCTATCAAATGCTCCTTGCTGGCCCTACCTAAAATCACCTCCCCTTCTCATAGTTATTTTGCTCTTTACCCTCACATTCTGAAATTATGCAATGTATGAGTTTAGTTCTGTGTCCTTAGTTAGAATATCTGCCCCATGTTTGCAGTGTTCCCAGTGCTTGGAGTGGCAGTTGGTACATAGTGAAAGACTTAACATTTTGGAGTGAATGAATGGATTAATGAATCTGACAGGGTATGTAATATATAAGGTCTAGTGGACATCCTGTGAGTGTGGGATGCACACAGGATCCCTTTCATCAAGGAGCAGAGACAGGCAGAGATGTCATCATTAGAAAAATACAAGATTATTATCTAGCCAAAACTTGGTCAACAGTGGGTAAATGTAAAAGTCACATAGGGACACACACCTTAGTTTCATTTAATGTGAAAAGATCTTTTAGGCCAGGCAAGGAGACATAATATTTACCATCATATTTCCATATTAAGCTCAAGATTACTCAGTGGCTATTTGTTCATAATCTGGCTATAGACAGGATTGATCTGTAACTTTGGGCAAGTCACTCCTCTCTCTTACACCTCTTATGAATTTTATGTTGAAAACATGGTGTTAGGGAAGGGTAAAGTAGTTTAGGGAAAAAATAAAACCAACAGAGGTGACTTCATGTACTTGTGTCTTCAAATACTGGGGACCTCTGGGAGGACAGTAACAGTATGACTTAGTACATGTTTAAAATTTTTTCTTATTTAAATAGAGAGATAATTGACATATAACACTGTATTAGTTTTAGGTTATACAGCATCATTTGAAATATGTGTATATTGTGAAATGATCACCACAATAAATTTAGTGAACATCTATTATCACACATAGTTTCAAAAACATTCTTTTTTGTTTGTGATGAAACTTTTAAGATCTACTCTCTCAGCAGCTTTCAAATATACAATGCAGTAGTGTTAACAATGGTCATCCCTAGAACTGATGGGTCTTCTCACTGGAAGTTAGTACCTTTTGACCACCATCACCCATTTTACTCACTCCCCACCCTTTGACTCTGACAACCACCAATCTGTTCTAAGTTCCTTATTTTTTTTTATTTTTACATGTAAGTGAGATTATACAGTACTTACCTTTTCCTGACTTATTTCACTGATTATAATGCCCTCAAGGTCTATCCATGTTGTTGCAAATGGCAGGATTTCCTTTTTTATGGCTGAATGATATTCTGTCGTGTATGTGTATATATAAATGCCTGTCACATTTTCTTTGCCCATTCGTGTATACTTTAATATGGGTTCTTTCCATTCAGCAATGTTTACTTCTCTTTCTATTGCAGGCATAAATTCATGTGCCTTTGCCCGCTGCAGCCATCTATGCCTGCTTTCCTCACAGAGGCCACAGCTTTACTCCTGTGCTTGTCCCTCTGGATGGAGCCTCTCTCATGATTCTTTGACTTGCCTGAGAGGTACAGTATGCCCTTTAAGTGTGCCCTGAAGATGGCCTTGCCACAGGGTGCAAAGCAGTGCAAGCTCTAAATCACTTGCAGATGGAGTGTGTGCTGTGTTCCCTTCGATTCAGCAGGAGTCTGCACAGTGCGTGCTGTATGGGGTGGCTTAACCGAGTACCTCAGTTGTATAGTTTCTGTATGTGGAGCTAATATTATGTGTGCATATGATTCAGCAGCCCTTAACATCACATTTTCTCTTACCTGGTTACAGTTAGACAAGCTATGGTAATGGAAAGTTACAAATTCTGCACTGAAGTTAAAATTCTTTTTTTAAATTTCTTGTTTTTCTTTTTTATTGAATTTTTGGGGTGACACTGGTTAATAAAATTATACAGGTTTCAGGTGCACAACTCCACAACACACCATCTGCGCACTGTATTGTGCGTTCACCATCCCACGTCAAGTCTCCTTCCATCACCATTTATTCCCCCCACACCCTCCTCGACTGCTTCCCCTCCCCCCAGCAATCACTGCACACTGTTGTCCATGCCCATGAGTTGTTTTTCTCTCTCTTTTTTTCCTCTCAAT